TTTAGAAACTGCATCAAATCAGTTAAAACTTATCCAGGTGCTGACATTGGGTCCGATCACAATCCAATAGTAGCTGTAACCCAATTAAAATTAAAAAAGGTGATCAAAAAGAAGTCTCGCAAAAAGATTGATACAGCCCAACTACAAGACGAGAAAGTTAAGGAATCAGTTCAAAGACAACTGAACGAAAATTTAATTTGGGAAAATATTGGTGAAAACGTCGATGAGGGCTTAAATAAAATCGTAACGACAGTAAAAGAAATCTGTGTGAGAAATTTACAAGGCAGGTCAAAGCCAAAAAAGCAGGCTTGGATGACAGATGATATACTGGATTTGATGGAACAACGGCGACTAGCAAAAAACAACGAAACACTTTACAATAGCATACAAAAAGAAATTCGACGTAAAATACGAGAAGCAAAGAGTCAACATCTAGCCAAACAGTGTCATGACATTGAAGAACTCGAAAAAAGATACGACACGTTTAACATGTATAAAAAAGTAAAACAAGCGGCTGGTATCTTCAATAAGAAACAAAATGCATTGCTACAGGATGAAAATGGTAAAGTTATATTCGAAGTAGAGGACAAACTTAAAGAATGGGAAAATTACGTCACGAACCTATTCGAAGACGATAGGAGTAGTTCACCTCCCGATATTACTAACTACGACGGACCCCTAATAACACGCTGTGAGGTTATAAAGGCCATACAATCATCAAAAGATGGCAGAGCGACTGGTCCTGATGAAATTCCAACTGAAATATATAAGCTTATAAAGGATAGCAATGTTTTAGAGGCTATAACTTCGTTTTTCAATGCCATTTATACCAGCGGTCAACTACCTAATGGTTGGTCTAACTCACTGTTTATAGCTCTACCTAAGAAGACAACAGCAAAAACCTGTGCTGATTATAGAACCATCAGTTTGTTAAACCACTTATTGAAAATTTTTCTGAAGGTAATACATGGTCGTATCTACAATAAATGTGAGGAATACCTGGATGACACTCAGTTTGGTTTCCGTAACGGATTTGGAACGAGAGAGGCACTGTTTGGAATGAACGTACTTGCTCAAAGATGTCGTGATATATCTGTAGACATATACTGTTGTTTTATTGACTTTCAAAAGGCATTTGATCGTGTTAAGCACTCTATATTGATCGAAGCTCTAAAAGACATTGGCTTGGACGGCAGAGATGTTCGAATAATTGCAAATTTATATTGGAATCAAACAACATCAGTTTTAGTAGATGGTGTGGAATCACAAGCTCTCAATATTAAAAGAGGAGTACGGCAGGGATGCCTCTTGTCACCCCTGCTTTTTAACGTTTATTCCGAAAGAATTTTCAGAAAAGCACTTTCTGAAAAACAAGAATACTTGTGAACGGCGAAGTCATCAATAATTTGCGATATGCGGACAATACAGTACTCCTAGCTTCTAGTCAAGAAGATCTGCAAACACTATTAGTTCGCGGATAAGCTACATTAAGATAAACAGGAATAAAGCGGAGATGCGCTGTCCTGAGTTTTCACATACGGTTAGGAAACCATGTTGGGGTTCAATTACCCAGGACCTCCACATGAAGAGCACTTGGCTGATTGTTGTGCCTCTATAGCGAATCAGATTGCTATAGGGGGGAAAGGGATGGTCTAGAGCATTGGAGCGCGGTGGGTGATTCCTGTTTTTAAACAAGAATTAAAACACCTTGCTCCAATGAATTGTTACACCCGATCGTACTACCTGGGTGAACATTTCTCCTAGGCTGGGTTCAATCAAATTGCTTGCTTGCTCTGCAAACACTACTTGATAGTGTCGTTGAGAGCCAAAATACCCGTAATAAGTAAACAACAGAATATAAAACCGTCTATATATGTAAATAATACCAAACTTGAGCAAGTTGATAAAATCGTCTACCTTGGACAGCAATTAAATTGTAATGCAGAAAATCACGGCGAAATTAGATCCAAAATAGAGCAGGCTAGAGCTGCTTTTAGAAGGATGTCCAAGGTGTTATGTAACAGAGACCTAAAATTGGTATTAAGGATCCGCTTACTTCGCTGCTACGTGTTCTCGGTCTTACTTTATGCTGTCGAGTCCTGGACTGTGAATAAAATCGATCTAAATCGCCTGGAGGCTTTCGAAATGTGGTGCTATAGAAGAATTTTAAAAGTTTCCTGGGTGGAGAAGGTTCGTAACTCCACATTACTAGAACGTCTCAACAAGACTACTGAGATCATAAAAAGCATCAAGCAGAGAAAGCTGGAATATTTCGGACATGTAATGAGAGGTCCCAAATATAGATTGCTACAAAATATCATGCAAGGAAAAATAGCAGGCAAACGCAGTCCAGGACGAAGAAGAACCTCATGGTTGAAGAACTTGCGAGATTGGTGTGGTGTAGATACAAGCATGCTATTTAGGGTGGCAGTGGATAGAATTAAAATAGCTATGATGGTAACCAACGTTCTGAAAGGACATGGTACATGAAGGAGAAGAAGAATCATTTAATTATCATTTAGGAAATATTACAATGTAAAAAAGACTTTGATCAAGTTTTGTTTGACTAACTGATAAAGAAACTACTAGACAGTTTTGAAAAAATGTTTTGTGATATGAAGTTTAGGAATTGGCTACTTTATTCTACATCGAAAAATAGTGTATTTTGTATTCCTTGCCGTGTATTTCAGGCGCAACCATTTCTTCTACTACAGGTTTTAATAACTGGAAGAATGTTGGCGTCAGATTAAAACAACATGGAGAATCAAAGCACCGCACGGCAAATATCTTGAGTTTGTTCAATCGAGGTAAAATAAAAAACAGAATAAACTGTTCTATAACAAGAACGTTCAGAAGCGAAGTACAATGCTGGCCCAATGTTTTGCAACGTGTTGTTGCAACAATAATTACACTGTCCATAAGGGAATTTGCCATTAGAGGAGATAATTCAGTTATTGGATCTGTTCAAAACGGCAACTTTTTAAGTTGTTTAGAACTCATAGCAGAATTTGATCCTGTTTTAGGCGCGCACGAGGCGTATGTCATTATTGGCCACACTGGCTTTATAAATTCTTGACTTCATATCAGTGTCAATGTGTCTGTTTCGGCATATAGTGTTATTAAGGCATCCTGCCAGTCTATTTGCTTTTTGTACTTGCTCTCTCACTTCTTTGTCCAGGTCTCCATAGCTAGACAGTGTAATTTCCAGATATTTTATGTCCATTACTTGTTCAAGACTGATGCCATCAGTTTCTATTTTACATCTAGTTGGTTCTTTGGTGATTACCATTGTTTTAGTTTTCTGAGATGAGATTGTCATATTAAATTCTCTTGCTCTTATAACAACAAGAGAATGTTTGTTGTTATTGGATGGCATCGTTACGTCTGTAAATAGTAATTTCGATAATAATTGGCCTACGACGGGACAGATTTTGTTTCGATTTAGAGCAGTGGCATATACGGCTCTGATGAGACCTAAATAGGTCGAAATACGTATAAGCAGCTTGCCGCTGACCTGCATCGAAACAAAAATCTAATACCGTCATTATGTTTTATTTCTTTACTATGTTTAGAGTACTAGAAACTGAATTCACTACGAATTTTGACCATGATGAATGGCAGGTGGAATGCATATTTTAGATTCCCTTGCCGAGTAATTCATCAAGCTGTTTGCTTTGCAAGTTGTAGAAGGCACAGTGGTAAAAATTTGAATTCAGTTTCGCCAGGTAGGAAATCGTATGATTTCTCTTGTTGTTAATGAAGAAATTATTAAAGAAGCTGAAAATCTGATACAACATGAATGCATTCACTTAAAGGGTCATTTTAACACCACAATAAAATCACCAATTGACTGAATATTTACAGAAGAGTGGATTGAAAGACATTTTCCCTAATTTTGACATTGCTTTGCGCATTTATTTGTGCATCCCAGTTGTCAACGTATCCGCTGAAAGGTCATTTTCGAAAATGTCAAGAATTAAAAATAATTTCCGATCAATTATGATGCCATAATGTCTTAACAATTTGTTGATTTTGTCCATATAAAATGACGTAATAGTTGCGATAAATGATGACATTATATATGATTTTGCCATAGAATAATCAAGGAAGAAATCTCTGATCTGATCTACCTGGAATGACAATTTTTTCTGTTTATTTAAACAAAAAATATTGCTTGCAATTTTTTTGCAAAAAATGGTACATGTTTCAATGGCGACTACTAGAGAATTGCCTAGGGCGTCAATTGGCCTAAATGCGGCCCTGGTAATAAGCCTGCTATAAACGTCTACAGGAGACAAGGTAAATATATTTAACAAACACACAAAGAAGTAGACGTTTCATTGCCAATCTATGAAATAAGTATAAGACAACTGAGACAATCATAGGATTATAATAATATATTCAAGTTCCAACTTATCAAAACATATCAACAAGTACATATTTATCAATATATTTTTTAAAAGCAAAATTCAAAACATTTTATTATAATTTACAACAGTATTTACAATAGTGTTATATAAATAATATTATTATTATTTGAATAGATAAATTACGATTTTTAACAACAAACAATACCTGTGTGATATAATCGGGTAATACCTGTTGTTAGTAAACATTATGTCATGCTACATCTTTTAATAGATTGTTCTGTATATTTACGATAAAAATTATTACATGGATTGTTTTTTTTAAGTTTAATCTGGTTCGGTAAATTTTGGTTCGGTTTGGAAAGTTTTAAAAGAAATATGTCACTGATGTTTAGTTCAGTAGGTGTAGCATTTGACCTAGCATGGCGATCTCCCCAAATTTTATTTCTTCTGTTTCGTCTTCAGTGCCTTATCCGGCCCGGATGTTGGCGATCATCATGGCTATCATGGTTTTGTTGACTGCTCTGCGAAACAGCTCCGCGAAGGTCATCCCAAACCATTGTCGGTTTTTTAACCACGAAATAAGACGGCTTCCCGGCATCTCCTGCCAAATACTTTACCCTGCATAACGAGTTGAAGAATTCGATATTTTTCTTCGTTCCGCATCACGTGCTGGAGGTACTCAAGCTTACGTTCTTCTTCTTTTATATAGACATGACTCTGTCTGTTTTTCAATGTGCCTCCAATAAATTGTCATACCCTCATTTTCGTTTTCTTCCTACTGATCGTCTTTCTATTGGGGAACCGTCTTTACTAGTCTATTTGTTGTCATTCGGCTTATATGATCGTTCCATTCTACGCTTCTATTTCTTACTCAGTTTTTGATGTTCTCCACCTTGCATCTATGTTGTATATCTGTCCTTCTAGCTCTGTCCCATAGTGTCTCACCATCAATTTTTCATCTCTGCTGTTTCTAACATCCTTTTTGTCCTCTCTGTGTCAGGTTTTGTTTCTGCCGCGTATGTTGTTATTGGTCTGATTACTGTATTGCAAATTCTGCCTTTCGTTTCTTTCCCGATATTTTCATTTCTCCATATTGTTTCATTTAGGCAGCCTGCGGCTCTGTTTTATCTATTCAATTGATCTTCCACTTCGGTTTCGAGCTTTCCGTAGCTAGATGATGTAATGCCTAGATATTTAAGCCTACATTGTTTCACTAAATTAAGCACTTCTATATCTTTTCTAATGCGCTGTAGGACCTCAACGTTGGCGACATGGTCCACATACCATATTTTTAGTATACTTCTGTAGATCCACATCTCGAAAGCTTCAATCCGTTTTTCTGTGGCTTTCGTCAGTTTCCAGGCTTCAACTCCATATAGTAACACTGGAAGAATGTAGCACCTCACTATCCGCATCTTGGTTCCCAAACTGAGATCACTGCAGTACAGCAAGGATCTCAACTTGATAAATGTAGACCGTGCGATTTAAATTCGGGATCTAATCTCTTGAGCGTAGTCCCATTGTGAGTTGAGAATAGTTCCGAGGTAAGTAAATCTGTTGACTCTCTGGATCTCTTCGCTACCTGCCATTAGTGCCTCGGGATCTAAATTTGCAGTTCTGACAACCATGAATTCAGTTTTCTTAATATTAAGGTCTAGTTACTTCATTTGCCACAAAATGCAGAAATTGAATACGAAAGCTACTTTCTTCGTTTTTAAAACTCATTTTGATTTCTGTCAGGGTGGTAGAACACTTTGATTAAAAGATATCGAATTTTTAAAATCAAAAATTGATTTAGCGCTCGTAACTGACTGTCAAAATGACCGGTTTCTTAAGCGTTGTTTCTGAGAGAACGGTTTATTTTACGCTAAAAGTGCTAATAAATATTTATTCTCCAAGGGTAGCTTTAAGGGCAGCCCGGGAGTAGGAGTCAAAAAACTTCTTAGCAACTTTTTTGAGGTACCAACATTGACATTTTCAGCAAAATTCAGCTTTGTTCGTAAGATTTTTAGAGGTTCAGTGAAATTTTCGTATCTGATAACAACTATACTATTTGGCCGATTTAATATTCAAAACTACTGAAGCATGATGAAACTGTCAGATATCCGATTTAATTGAAAATAGTTTCGGGATAAACTTTAATTGCAATGATAATTTTTCGTATCAAACAAAAGCAGTTTAATAAAATATTTAAATAACCAATAAATAGATAGTTTCGTTATTGCAGTAGTAAAATATGGCTTAACAAAGATATTTTTTATCATTTTAATTTTAGTTTATGATTTTAACTCTATATTTCGAGTCTCTACTACATTTTCCATTTAAATAATGACAAAAATATCAGAAAATAGTACATTGTTTACCGGGTAGGAAAAGCTTAACATTCCTGGACGACTGTGAAGATTGCTAAGTCGAGGCGCAAGCCGAGACTTAGCAACACAGAGTCCAGGAATGTGGCTTTTCCTACGAGATAAACATACTATTTTTCCGCAAATCGTTTAAAATTCGACAGATATTGATTGATTTAAAAAAAACGCGATAATTTTATTCCCAAATAAATGGTGCTTTGAAATTCCTAATAAAATTACTTGGGTTACTATGGAAACGTATTGAGGTTGAATTGTCAAACTTGACAATTTATGTAGAACACTAACAACTGTACGGAAATATAATTTCCTTACAGTAAGGAAATGACATTTCCTTACAGTAAGGAAGTCCTGACTTTTTCTTCAAGAAATTTTGACAAGAATGTCGAAATTTCCTGGCGATTTACGGAAATAGTACATTGTTTACCGGGTAGGAAAAGCTTAACATTCCTGGACGACTGTGAAGATTGCTAAGTCGAGGCGCAAGCCGAGACTTAGCAACACAGATTCCAGGAATGTGGGGCTTTTCCTACGAGGTAAACATACTATTTTTTCCGCAAATCGTTTAAAATTCGACAGATATTGATTGATTAAAAAAAAACAACAACAGAAATCTTCAACATTATGGGCCAATTATTCAATGCTGAAGTCAACCCTTGCACTTAAACACAATGTAGATATATCTACATACTCAAAACTTCGTTCTTTATTGAAACGGCAAGCTCAAGGTTATAGGGCAAAGAAATCTAAGATTTTAACGAAGGAAGAAATTGAAAAATTTATCCAGGAAGCTCCAGATAAAGAAAATTTAATGATTAAGGTAATTTACAAGTTTTTAATTTCTATTTAGATTATAGCTTTATTTATTTTTTAGGTGGCTGTAATATTTGGTATTTCTGGGGCCTGTAGAATGGATGAGTTAGTCCGAATGACTGTACACGATATAGAAGACTTAGAATCTAAGCTTTTAATCAGCATACCTGATTCGAAAACCAACAAACCAAGATCATTTGTAATTAATCAGATCTACTTGAATGTTTATCGAAAGTATGTTTCGTTAAGACCAGAAAATATGAACAATGACCGATTTTTCTTTAGATATCAAAGCGGAAAGGGTTGTAGACAAGTGGTAGGAATTCATCAATTTAGAAAAATGCCCAAAATAATTGCTACTTATTTGAACTTGGTAAATCCGACAGAATATACTGGTCACTGTTTTCGTCGGTCTTCTGCAACAATATTGGTTGACTCTGGTGCCGACATAACTAGCAACTAGTTTAAAGAGGCATGGCGGATGGAAGTCATCAAACGTTGCTGAAGGATATATCGAAGAATCGCTTAACAATAAGGTTGAGGTGGCAAATAAAATTTTCACAGTACAAAATATTCAACAAAATGACACTTCCACCCTGCATGTTGTCCAAAATGTTTCTCATAGTTCTAAGAGTGTTCCTCCAATGTTCAATAATTGTACTAACTGTCAAATTACTGTAAATATAAAAAATTGATCTTAAAAATGTATTCAGCAATGACTTGATGTTTTCCAAATATAAATTAATTCCTTATAAGCAATGTAGTAGCAATACAGTAAGGAAATGACATTTCCTTACAGCAAGGAAGTCCTGACTTTTTCTTCAAGAAATTTTGACAGGAATGTCAAAATTTCCTGGCGATTTGCGGAAAAATACATTATTGAAAACGTGATATCACGATACCTATCTCAATCACGTTTTCAGAATCAAGATTTAAGATGAAGAAAAACTATTGATTCATTGAACGACCTCAAATAAAGTATAATATAATGTTTTCCTTGTCTTAGTATATGTTCGATATTTATCAGTGTTAAAATTTATAATGTAAGTAAATATGTAGGAATGGAAAAAATAGTCTTGTGTCATAAGCATATCACTTATTATGAATGAAAGTGTTGTTTATCGGTTTTAATGAGGTCACTGTCACTATCTCTATCATTGGTGTTTGTGATAATTGTCTTTTTTAGTTTTTTATTACTGTTATAGCTATATCTATTAGAATTATTGCAACAGAAAAAAATGATAAAAAAATTGATTGATACGAGTGGCTCGCTGTCAAATTCATGATTTATTAAAGTGGCAGAAAAAATAATAAAAAATAAATCTCTCAGATAGATTGTTCTACAAATCATATGCAAATAATTGACCATAATTGGGCAATCTAGAAACAGAATTAAACATGATATTCTATTACTAAATTGCGAAAATTCACTACAATTATAAACACACACTGATCGATAGTGTTCACGGTGTCACAACATAAATATTCTTTTCAAATGAAAACAGCTGCAGCTTAAAGCATATTGAATAATTATTATTTTTAAGCAATATTAAGCAGAAATGTACTCTTTAAATGGACGTAGTTAAGCAGAAAACGTCCAACCCACAAATTGTTAAAAATGAGTTCTTTACACCAGCGAGCATATAATTTCTTGCTTTATAATATGCAGAAACCGTCCAAGTGAAAACATTACATACTCTTTTAATAATCGTCAAAGTTCTAACCCACAAACTAGGTTAACTGAGATTTTCATTGATAATAAAAAATCCAAGTGGGTTGAATTTTTTCTAAAAAATGTATGTCGATCTAAGTAATCGTGTTAAAAGAGTGGTTAAAACAGGCTAAGTGGGTTGGATCACTTTAACGCTCCATGCGATAACAAAACTACTGTGCATTTTTTTGTGTTAAAAACATCCAAGTGAATTGGATGTTTTCTACTTATAAATTTCGGTATACTTGTTAAAAATAAGAGTATAATCAGAAATCGTCCAAACCACTTGGTATCATTTTACGTTTACTATTTCATTAATATGTTAAAAGTAGTTTGAATCTTCAATTTCGGTCGATAATAAAATTTTATTACGGGAATGTGCCCTATTAATGTTTAAAACGTGCCTTGTGCGTATAAACCCTGGAACTTGGTCGATAAAAATTAATTTATTATAGGTACTCATCTTAAGCATAGTAATCACTTTCCTTTAGTTTTAAGTAAATGTGCCTATGTATTGATAAACATTTCTTTTTATTCAGTTGTGTCTGATTTTTCTGACTGTTCGGGTTTAAAAATACTTATTTAATAATAATTATGTCGAAAAGAAGCAAATACATGTGTGAGCTAGCAAAACTTATGGAAAACCAAACAAATAGTGTAATGTCTAGCGTGGAATTTGATTCAAATATTACCAATGTTGAGGTAAGTCGGAAATTTTTTATTAAAAAATAACTATATGTTGTTTACTGATTATTTTTTCGTGGTTTTCGGCCAGATTGAAGAAATAACACAAAACTCTCTTTTTTTTTACGACGTTTCAATTTATTTTGTTACTAAATCTTAAAAAAAAAATAAAGAAAATAGAAGAAAATAGAGTTTTGTGGTATTTCTTTAATCTGGCCGAAAATCACGAAAAAATAATCAGTTTATAAGACACGGCTTCTAAAAGTTTATGTTGTTTACTAAATTTTTAAAATAAATGCATTTTATACATCATTACATAATTTAAATATATTGTAGAATATGGATGATACCAATGTGACAGAATTCTACCGTCACAGCGAACCATCGTCATCCAATAGTCGTATTCGTGAAATGGTTTTAAACGAGAAAACTGGATGTTTTGAATCAGCTTCTACCATAGATTCTGTTGATGATTATGATGTAAGTATTAAATCTTTGTACCTATACTGTTTAGTAAAATGCTTTATAATGCTATTCGCTATATTATTTCTATTTAATGAAAACTAAACTTTGATGTACCTATTGTTACAATCTAAAGAAAAAATACAACTTCCTTAGGTACACACAATTTTGTAAACACATATGTATTAATCTTATTATACCAATGTTAAATTGATACCTATTATTATGATCATCAATTATTATTGATTAAAGTAATTATACAATAATGTAAAGCATATGAAAATTATTTTTCGATGAGTACCTATAGTAAACTTTATGAAAAAGATTAATTTGAATGAATTGAATTTGTTTTATTTTTTGGTACCTGGTAATTGATTAAAAGTTAACTTCTTTAATTAAAATAGACGCTTTCTATAATTTTTTGAAATTTTTATTTAAAATATTATCTAATAATACCTACCTTTTTATTCTTACAGAATATGTCAATAAGTGATGTCTTTAGTAGCGGTTCCTCTGATATGTTTATACCATCGTCACATGAAGAGAGTTCCGATAACAATGAAAGTTGTGATGATAATCCATTTTTAGCCAGTACATCAGGTCGTCCAAAGAAGGGTAGAAAA